GCCTCACAGAGGACCCTGGAAATTTTGGTGCTCTTACTAGCAACATGCCATTAACAATGAGATCAACTTCATTCTCGTTTCATTAGACAGACTCCCATTTCTTTTCCCTGTGGTTTCATTCTTTTTGATAGTTCAAGCTAGTTGTGTACCTTACGATTGTCCCTTTGTGTGTAAATTACCAAAATTCATAAGGATTTGTTATACCAACTCAGGTCAGTTGGTATAACTTTTTAAAAAACCTGTTTCAACCAGTAATAACTTTGTTGCATCATGCCTGTTTTTGGAAATATTTAAGCCATTTTCCTGTCTATTTACCTGTCCTTGCCAAGCATTTTACAAACCATTGTATAAAACAGGTAGTTTTTATGTGGCCTCTCGCCTTTTTTAGGAAAAGAAAACTCCATTCAAAATTTAATATGTTCACAATTATGTGTTTTATACTTCTTTTAAAGTGGGGCGATTATTTTTCGGCTGTGGTAGCTATCATGCAAAAAGCAGCCATTCACTCCAGTCACATGGTTTCCAATCATAGAAGGGAATCCCAGTCGCAGGAGGTTGAATGGGGACCCTCGAAAATGATATGTCCATATCCTAACTCCCAGAACCTATTAATATGACTTTATTTGGGGAAAAGGTCTTTGCAGATGTAATTAAGTTACAGATCTCTAGATGAGATGATCCTGTCTTAAGGTGGGCCCCACTAACAAGTCCTTGGAAGAGAAGGGGAAAACACACACACAGACACAGAAGAGAATACCATGTGAAGACAGAGGCAGAGGGTGAGTGTCAGAGCTGCCAGTCCAGAGTGTCCACCAGAAGCTGGGAGAGAGGCATGGCCCAGATCCTCCCACAGAGCCTCCGGTGGGGAACCAACCCTGCTGATATCTTGCTTTAGAACTTCTGGCCTCCAGAACTGTGAGACAATACATTCCCATGGTTGGAAGCCACTAAGTTTGTGGTGATTTGTTATGGCAGCTCTAGCAAACCAATACAGCAGCTCATTGCAATACCTTTTACTGGTAGCAACTATCAACATTTGCAAAATTTGGGTGAAAAACTTTCTTGAGGAAATAAATTAAGGAAAGCTTAACACCAGGCTGCTGAGTTTCTCTTTCTATTATGGGTCATAAACCCTTAAGCAAACAACACTTACCAGAGGACATCAACCCAGTTTTCAGAAGCAGGAGACACATCCATTAGCATTTTATGCTTTGGACAGCTTATGCATGTGGACAAAGCAACATCAATGTGCATCAGCTGCTTAGTCTTCTAGAAAACTTAGGAAGTGAGAGCAGGGGTATTTTACCATCTGTAGAGACTAAAAACAAAGAGTAGAGATGAACAGTCATTTCTTGTATGAGGCTGGAGAGGAGTGCATGATATTAATCTCTTAGTTACATTTTCTGTTTAGAATGTCTATGGATCCATTTGTTCATTCATTCAGCAAATTTGTGGAGTACAACTTACATGTACGATGTTAAGCGCTGAGAAAGCAGCACTATTTAAGTTCCTGG